AAGTAAGTGCCCAATTGGCGGGCGGCTTTGAATTTTATTTTAATCGATTTGGCTGAAAATCAAAGTTATTCTATAATTGTCGTGGCATGAAATAGTCAATCACCCGCTGGCAACCAGTTGTGAAATTCTGGTCGCCAGAGCAAAATTTTTAGTCGCATTGGCGAAAGTGCAATTTTGGACCCTGACCAAACATCTGAAGTTGTCAGAAGTTACCTTTGTAGAGGGAATGCTAAGTTTTGTGACTGCACCAGGAAAACCGCACACACCTGGTAAATCAACCAAATTCGGTGTTATATTTAAATATATTAATTAAGTGAACAGAGATCCCAGTATAGAAATGCATTGTGAAAGATAAAATATTTAGCATGTTGTGAGCGTAGTACATTTTTGTTTGTTTTTAAAACATATTTGCCATTGTTTTCCCTAAAAGCAGCTGGGTTTATCAAGGGGGATTACAATATTACAATTTTTACTTCATTTATTCAGACTCACAAATACACACACAAACAACACACAAAAATTGCACTGAAAACAACATAATTTTAGAGTACATTACTGAATACATTTAGAAAAAATCTAGGTTCTTGACAGGATATCCAATTACTTCCAACAATCTGTTACTGTTGGTAGCAGGTCTTTTCTCTTGGAGTTTCTTAGACAAGTGTTTCTCAGTGATCCCGAACACAAAAGGCGGTCTGGATGAGTAGGGGTTGGGCTTTGTGTCACTGTCTTGCCTCATAATACCTGCTGCATTTTATTCAGGGGAAAAGAGGCTCCCAGTAGTTTAATAATCTGTGTGTACATGTACCTTCAAGAAAATCTTTTAAAGTACTTTCTTGGCAATCAGGTGGAAGGCCATGAAGAAACAGCTTGAAGTCATCAACAAGCATATTTCCGCTGTTTGTGAAACGCTCCATGGTCTGAGACAGAAAAAGAGAAAAACAGTCAGTAAAATACAGACTATAATTATATCATGACAGCTGAACCTCTGGTTGCGACTGCCTCTTGTAAGCAACCACCTCTCCTCAGTGACCTTTTTTTCCAAAAGACCAAAAGTTTCCCAGTCAAATCACAATATTTGGAACCTCTTGTAAGCAACCACCCTTTTTAAGCAACCGCGACCACTTTAAGAGCTAAAAGTGTTAATTTTTTTTATTTTTAACCCCCCATAAGAGACCACTTGACAGATAATAGAAAGGAAATTGGATAATAAGTTGTAACATTATTGTGTTCCTGGGTAGAAAAAGAGACGGAAAATTTCTTAATGGGAAGAACAAGATTTTTCTTGACATTGACTTTTCACATGAAA